TGCTGGGGTCAGAGGTGTGGCCACCACTGCCCATCCTCTATGGCCCGTCCTCTATGGTTGACTTGTGGCTTAGCTCTGCACTCTGATCTCCAGGCAAGCTTTATTTGTTAGATTGCAAACAATATATCACCACCACTCTCCCCTCCCTGTGACTCTAGCTAGCAAGGCGCAGGAGGAGAAAGACTAGCCAGGGTTAGGGGCTGTGTCTGTCCCTCTCTGCAGAGGGATCAGCAAGCCTGTTGTCCCCAACAGGGAAAAACTTCAGTTTTTGTGGTTCAGCCACCATAGGGCTTTCTATCCCTAAGAGAATTACAAAATTCATGGACATCCTTGGGTTTTCAGTTAGGTGGATGGTCTATTCCCACTGTAGAAATTCAAAGGGTTGGTAAAAGAAAGCTCTTTTTTTAAAAAATGAAATAAAAAGATGTCATTGTGTGTGCAGGTGATATGTGTGTTTATGTGCATGTGAGCACATGTGTGTGCATGTGAGCACGTGTGTGTGCACACGTGATGTGTGTGCATGTGATGTGTGTGTGTGCAGGCCAGAGGACGACTTTGGGGGTCAGTTCTTTCTTGTGCCTTCCACCTTGTTGAGACAGGGTCTCCGGTTTCTCCTGCTCTGCCACGCCAGGTTAGCTGGCCCGTGAGCTTCTAGGCATCTCTCCTGTCTCCACCTCCCATGTTGCTAGAGGAGTGTTGGGGTCACAGATGTAGCCAGCTCTCTGTGGGTCCTGGGGACTGAGCCCAGTTCTCAGGCATGTGCAGCACATGCTTCTAGCTGCAGAGGCATCTCCAGGCTAGTCTTTTCACTTGCTTGTTTGGTTTTGTGAGGCAAGGTTCCCTAGGCAGTTCCAGGTTGTCTGTGAACTCAGTGATCCTCAGGTCTCTGCTCCCCATTGGGATTTTAGGCCTGTGCTGCGACTTCTGACAAGTTTGTTATTTTAAAAATTATAGCCCACATGCTCTGTATACTGAATAGTCTAAGATTATTAAGATCCAGAATTTGTTTTCTAATGCATATCCGCCAGTGAATCAAGTCACTAGTTACTTGAAAACCTGTGCTTTAATGCTGGAGAAGTAGAGGCACCAGAAACACACGTCTTGAACTTTGTACAAAGCACCTACTACAGTCAGTATTGCCAAGGAGGGCCTGTGCTAAGTGGGCCAGAACTTCTGGCTCTCTTAGGCATTACTGATGACTTTTACCTGCGTATGATTAAGCGTTTGAAGCAATCATTACCGCTCCTATTTTCCAACCATGGCCTTACAGGTAAAGGCCTTATTTATAATGTGTAACCTGGTGAAATTATTTTCTCAAAAACATTTCTACATTTATTTACTCATTTATTAACTGAATGTGCGGGTCTGTGCCACAGGGTGGGCAGAGGTCGGAGGGCAGCCTGTGGGAGTTTTCTCTGTTGTATGGGTTCTGTATATGAGACTCAGGCTTGGAAGCAAGAGTGGGCCATCTCAAGCTCAGCCTGCTGGGATTTTCAATTCACAGTCTTGTGAAAATTTCCAGTGTTTTAAAATCCTCTAAGCATTAGGAAATGTCTGACAGAAATTAGCACGAGTATATTCCCAGAAACCATATTTGAGAAAATGTTGTGAAAGCTGAAAATATATTGTCTTTTATCAACAGCTCTTTAAAAAACAAAACTGTTAGTTCCTTAAGTGTTGGGCCCCAGCCCCTCGATCTCTGTGCATTGCTTGTCAGCTGACAGCCACAGGTGCATCCTGCCCTCTAGTCCTGGCTTACAGCCCGGCCTTGCCCACCTGACGTCAACGTTTAGTACCAGGAAAACAGGGACTCTGACACCTGGGGTTTCTCCACTGTGCTGTAAGTCTGTATACAAGGCTGCTCTCTGCTTGCAGTAAGTGCACACGCACGTTCTCTTAGCACCAATGGCCGGACGACTTGTCTTTCATTTGAGTCTCCAGACCTTCGACTGACGCATTAGCCTTGCTTGTGGAGTGGACGGCACGCTGAAGAGTTTCATACAGTGTATTCTGATTATTCACCCTTTGTACCCTTTGCCTCCACATCATCTAGATCCCCACTCCTTCCCCACCCACCTAAACCTCACGCCCTCTCCCTGCCCCCCTTTGTGGACAGGGTTCCTCTGTGTAGTCTTAGCAATCCTGGAACTCACTCTGTAGACCAGGCTGGCCTCGAACTCAAGAGATCCACCTATCTCTGCCTCCCAAGTGTAGGTAAAAGGTGTGCACCACCACCACCCAGTGTGTCCTCTTTTTTAAAAAAATTAATATATATTTAAAGACATCTTATATACGTTAATATATATTATATATGTTTTCCTCTATATAGAGATCGCCTGCCTCTGCCTTCTGACTGTTGGGATTAAGGCACACACCACCAAACCCAGCAAACCCTACAGCGCCCTGTATTTCAAAGCAGTCTCTCATCCAGGTACTGACCAGGCCCGTTCCTGCTGGGCTTCTGACATGGAATGAGATCTGTCGCTCTCAGGGAGGTTCGGTCATCGTTGTTGGCCTTTTTTGATGCTGGCTCTCATGCGGTCCCGGCTAGTGAGGATGGTCTTGAACTTGTGATCCTCCTGCCCACCCAGTGGATGGAGCCTGATTTATAAATCTAGCTGAAAGCCACACAGCTCGATAGCCAGTTTTCACTGGGTTCCCTGGACAATCCCATTCCACTGGGTGTTGTGAGAACTTGTTTGAGTGATGGAAAGGCTACTTGCTGAGTTTGACATTGGAGCATGGGACTTTGTGTTTATCCAGGCAGTACAGAATTTAAGTTTGCTAGGATATAAACTCCCTGGGTCTTATTTGCTAATGTCTAAAGAGGCTGGAAGGTAGTCACATGCTCATGAGTATTCGTTGAAGGAGTGACTGTTTGAGGACTGAAATTTTCTTTTGAGCCTCAGGTGGGGCTCACAGCTGTAGTCCCAGCACTGGGACAGGCAGATTCCCAAAAGTTCCAGCCTAGGGTATAGAATGGACACTCTGCTCACAAACAATATAAAGTCTTTTTTTTTTTTTTGAGGGGGTGGTACTGAGGATTAAGTGCTTGTCCGCTGACCTACACCCCAGAACTTTGACTTAGGGTTTTTGCCCTGATATTGGGGTGTATGATCCCAACCATCAGAAACAGCTGCCTCCTTTTCTGGACAGAGTGGAAATCCCACTGAATGATGTACATGAGTGTGCGTATGTGCACACACACAAATAATTTAAAGGTTTAATTATATGTATATTTCTGTGACTGTAGGTGCCTATGGGGGCCAGAAGAGGGCGTCAGATCCCCCTGGCGCTGGAGTTACAGGCAGTTGTGAGCTGCCTAGCAGGGGTGCTGGGAACTGAACTCAGTTCTTCTAGGAGAGCAGGAAAAGCTTTAGAGCAAGCAGTGGTTCTCAACATGCGGGTCACGACCCCTCTGGGGTTGAACGGCCCTTTCACAGGGGTTGCTATCAGATATCCTGCGTATCAGATACAGTATGACTCATAACAGCAACAAAATTACGGTTCTGAAGTAGCAACAAAAACGGTTTTATGGCTGGGGGTCACCACACGCGAGGAACTGTAAGGAAGGCTGAGGACCACTGCCTAGACCTGTCTCTCCAGGCCCCGCAGTATACTGCTGCTCAGATTCTGTGATTCTAGACTTCTCGTGGGCCCCGCCCTTCAGTTATGACAGCATCCTGGGCATGTGACCCTCAGGTTACAGGTGATTCCAGTCTCCCTGATGAAGCTGGCAGCCGCTTTGGTCTCTGTAGCATTTACAGAGCGATCACTGCACTGGGTGACTTTTTATTTCTATAAATCTTTGTGGGTTTTTGAGACAAGCTAGTCCAGGTTGCCTTAAGCGCATTCATTAGGTAGCTCAGGTTGGCCTTGAGCTCCCAACCCCCCAGCCTTTAACCCCCGCAAATGCTGGGATTGTCAGAATGAATGGGATAACCACATCTGGCTGGTGACTTCTCATGAATCGTGTGCCAAGGTCTCTGAACTTTTTTTTTTTTTAAACGTTTTCCGGGTTACTGACTTCTGACAAAGGCAGGTAGGTAGGGAACGGCTTTTTTTTTTTTTAATTATCTTTGTTGCCTTTTGAGGTAGCTCAGGATGCTTCTGTACTTGTCATATACATAGCCTAGGCTGGCCTCCAACTCGAGGTGGTCCTCCTGCCTCGGCTTCCAGAGTGCTGCGATTAGAGTTGGGGATAGTGGTTTCTATCTTAGAAAGGAGACTGTAGTTCATTCACCTCGCCGGACACTACTGCGTTTTCCTCCACCACGTAGAAGTCCTTCCGCGAAGACACGACCCCGCGGGGGTCACGTCAGCGAGGCTGCTGCGAGGGGGGGGGTTGGCCTCGGTGGCCGCCCGAGCGAGGTCACAATCGCGGGCTCCGTAACGCCCGCCCTGTGGGGCTCCGGGCGAGCGCCAGAGGCTCTCTTGCGAGCCAGCAGCCCGGTAACGTGGGTCCTCCGCCCCCTCCCTGCAGGCGGCAGGCTCGGCAGGCTCCCCGGGAGTCGTCAGGGCTGCGTAGGGGCGGGGCGGGGGTGGGGTGGGGAGGCAGGGGCGAGGCGCGGCCCCAGGAGCCCCCTCACCTGACCCGGATGGCGGGCAGGAAGAGAGCGGTCCTCGCCGTGGAGTGCCGGCTTCCCCCCAACCTTGTGCGGAGCTCGGGGCGCAGCTCGGCAGGCACCAGGCGCCCCCCCCCCACGACACACGCAGCCCGGGCCCCCGGGACCTGGGGCGCCCCACGAGGGGGCGGGCGCGGGGCGGAGCTCGCGGCGCCCGGGTCCGCGCGAGCTCCGCCCCGCCCCGCCTCCTTCCCCGCGTCACTTCCGGCCCCGGCCGCTCGCCTCTCCCCCTCCGCCCTGCTCCCCTCCCGCTCGCCGTTAGGGAGGCTCTGCGCCTCAGCCGCCGCTGCTCCCGCCGCCGCCCTCTTCTCCGCGTCCGCCGCCGCCCGGGGTCTCCGGGGAGTCGCTACCGGGCTGGCCCCGCGCCGCTTCAGCCTCGCGCTCGAAGCCGCCTCGTCGGGAGGAGCGCCGCCGTCCGCCGTGCCGCTTCGGGACTCCGTCCTCGCCTCGCCGGCGTCGCCCAGGGTTCTGGAGAAGCGGCCGAGGCCGGGGAACGGGGCTCCGCGGTTCCAACGGTGGGTGAACGGGCGGGCGGGCGGGCGGGGGCCGCGCATGCGCCGCTGTCTGCCGCGGCGCTCTCCCTCTCCCTTCCCCTCCCCTCCCCGGCCTCCAGCCCCGCAGCCCTGAGTCCCCACCCGCCAGGCGCTGCGGACCGCGTGGGGGGGGTGGGAAGCCCGGAGACGGAGGCGCAGCCCTCGGGTGCGGGGAGAGACGTCCAGCCGAGGGGGCCCCGGCCCCGCCGGGGAGAGGAGGAGGGAGGGGCGGTGGCCCTGGCCGTCGGGGGTGGGGGGTGTGGCAGCCTCGGCTCTGCAGCCGCTGCAGTGCGCGCCCGCGGGGCTGCGCCTCGCCTCGCCTCCCCTCCCCTCCCCTCTGCCAGGCTCGTCCGCTCGCCCCCTTCCCCCCTTCCGCGCCCGCTTCCTCCGAGCCGGGCAGAAGAGTCGGTGGTTGCAGGGGGGGGGGGAAAGTGGTTTTTATTTTGGGCTCCACTGCATCACACCCCACACCCCCCACTTTTTTTAAGGGTCACGTGAGATTGAGTGGTTTGCTGCTGACTTCCTTAAGTCGCCCAGAGAATGTAGCCAAAAATTGGGCTGTCGGCGCCCCGGGGCCTCGTTTCTCTAGGGGAGCCAGCCGGGTCCCGAGGGGGGGGTCCTCCCTTACCCCGGTCCCCGGCCAGATGAGATGATAGGAGGTGGCACCCGCTGGCTCACTTGGCCCAGCGCGAATTGCCCCACGCCCGCCCTTTGTGTGT